AATCCACTCACCTCAGCCTCCCAAAGTGCTGGGATTACAGGCTGAGCCACAGAGCCCGGTTTAAAAGTATATTTGTACTTAGATGATAATAACACTCATAAATACCAAAGAAAAAGAGATCTTAAAAGCAGCCAAAGCAAAAAGAGATTTCCCATAAGAAATTATATTAGTGGTGGTTTTTATTAAAAATCAATAATACTGCTGTGCTCAGTGGCTCAGCCTGTAATCCCGCACCTTTAGGAGGCTGAGGTGAGTGGATTGCCTGAGCCCGTGGGTTCGAGACCCGCCTGGGCAGCGAGACCTCATCTCTACAATAAATAAAAAAATCGGCCGGGCATGGTAGCGCATGCCTGTAATTCTGGCTACTTGGAAGGCTGAGGGGAAGGATCGCCGGAGCCCAGCGGGTCGAGGCTGTGGTGGCCGGGAGCGGCCACTGCACTCCAGTCTGGGCGACAGAGTGAGACTCCGACTCAAAAAAAAAAAAATCAGTAACACTAAAAGTTAGAAGACAGGAGAATAACATACCTAAATTGATGAATGAAAATAACTGTCAACCTAGGATGGTGTTCTTGGCACAGTCATCTTTCAAGAATGAAGATGAAATAAAAAATACTTTTATCTAAATGAAAATGGAAGAGGTTTATCAGCAACAGACCTTCATCTAAAGCAGAGGTCCCAACCTCGGGGCCACAGACCTGGTACTGATAATGGTTCCTGTTAGGAACTAGGCCACCAAGCAGGAAGTGAGTGGCAGATGAGTGAGTAAAGGTCCATCTATATTTACAGTCACCCCCCATCACTTGCATTACCACCTGAGCTCTGTCTTCTGTCAGATCAGCAGCAGCATTATATTCTCATAGGAGTGTGAACCCTGTTGTGAACTGCACATGTGAGGGATCTAGGTTGCAAGCTCCTTAATGAGAATTTAATGCCTGATGATCTGAGGTGGAGCTGAGGCAGTAATGCTAGTGCTGGGGAGCGGCTGTAAACACAGATTAACATTAGCAGTGAGGTTTGACTGCAGAGACCATAATAAATCAATTGCTTACAGACTCATATTAAAACCCTGTTAGCCGGGCATGGTGGCTCACACCTGTAATTTCAGCAGTTTGGGAGGCCGAGGCGAGAGGACTGCCTGGGCTCAGGGGTTTGAGACCAGCCTGAGCAACATGGGAAGACCTCATCTCTACAATAAATCAAAAAATTAGCTGGGTGTGGTGGCACACGCCTATAGTTCCAGCAACTTGGAAGGCTGAGGCGGAAGGATCACCTGAGCCCAGCAGGTCGAGGCTGCAGTAGCCATGAGTGCACCACTGCCCTTCAGCCTGAGTGACCGAGTGAGACTCCAACTAAAAAACAACAACAAAAAAAACCCCTGTCAGTGAATGGCAAGTGAGTCTGAGTTGATGTACTTCAATTATACAGCTGCATCTGGTGGCATGCTTTAAGCCAGAATCCAACCATCTGCACATGGCCAGCCCATTAGTTTATTTACAATTTCCATCTGTAACTCTTTCCTGCACTGTGCACTTGTCTCAGTCAGTTTTGGTTAGCTCACAAGCTAACCCACCAAAATGAGTAAAATACAAACATCACTGGAGAGTTTCTTTGAAAAGGAGGAAAGACTCAATGACGAGACAGCAGAAGACTCTAAGATTGCCAACAAGAAGAAAGCTGCATTTAAAAGAAAATACCAAGAGTCCTACTTAAATAACGGGTTCAGTTGCAATAGGTGATTCACATCCTCCAAGCCTGCTTTGTATAATATGTGGCGACTGGCTCCAACCAAGCCATACAACCTTCAAAATTGCATTGCCACATGGAGACCGGGCACCCTTCATTAAAAGACAAGGCTTTGGAGTTTTGCAAAAGGAAAAAAAACTGTGAACATGAAGAACAGAAGCAATTACTGAAGGCTATCACTTCATCAAATGCATCTGCACTGAGAGCACCATTTTTTTTTCTTCTGAGTTGGAGTCTCACTCTGTTGCCCAGGCTGGAGTGCAGTGGCACACTCACAACTACTGCAACCTCGACCTGCTGGGTTCAGGAGATCCTTCCACTTCAACCTTTCAAGTAGCTAGAACTACAGGTTCATGTCATCATGCCCGGCTAATTTTTTGAATGATTGTAGAGACAAAGTCTTGTCATATTGCCCAGGCTAGTCTTGAACCCCAGGGCTCAGGCAATCCTCTCACCTTGGCCTTTCAAAGTTCTGTAATTACAGGTGTGAGTCGCTGCACTTGGCTGAAATCATCTTTTTTTTTGAGTTGGAGTCTCACTCCATCACCTAGGCTGGAGTGCAGTGACACACTCATGACCACCCCAGGATCAACCTGCTGGGCTCTGGCAGTCCTTCCACCTCAGCCCTCCAAGTAGTTGGAACTACAGGCATACACTACCACGCCTGGCTAATTTTTGATTTATTGTAGAGACAAGGTATCTCCAAGTTGCCCGGGCTGGTCTCAAACCCATGGGCTCAGGCAATCCACTTGCCTTGGCCTCCCAAAGTGCTGGAATTATAGGCCGAGCCACCGAGCCCGGCCTCTGAGATCATCATTCTTAGTGACTAATTGCATTACTGAAGCTAAGAAGCCCTTTACTGTTGGTGAAGAGTTGATACTGCCTGCTGCTAAGGACATCTGTTGTAAACTTTTAGGAGAGGCTGCAGTTCAAAAGATGGCATGTGCTTCTCTTTTGGCTAACACCATAACTAGATGACATGATGAAACAGCAGAGGATACTGAGGCACAATTGTTAGAGTCACCTTGGTACACAATCCAGGTTGATGAGTTTACCGATGTTGACAACAAGGTCAACAATGCTTATTTTTGTGTGACATACTTTTCAGGAGGATGTGCATGAGAGTATGTTATGCGCACTTTTGTTGCCAACCAATACCACAGCTGCAGAAATGTTAAAGTCTTTCAATGATTATATATCAGAAAAACTGAATTGGTCATTTTGTGTCGGTATATGCACAGATGGAGTGGCTGCCATAACTGGACAGCTTTCTGGTTTCACTACTAGGGCGAGGTCAC